CATCCGGCGCCCTGGTCAGGGGACATCCAGCCCCGTGATCAGAGAACACCCTGTCCGCTCATTAGAGGACATCTGGCGCCCTGATCAGAGGACACCCTGTCCCCTGATTAGAGGACATCTGGTCCCCTGGTCAGAGGACACCAGGCCCCCTGGTCAGGGACACCCTTTCCCCTGATTAGAGGACATCCGGCGCCCTGGTCAGGGGACATCCAGCCCCGTGATCAGAGAACACCCTGTCCCCTCATTAGAGGACATCTGGCGCCCTGATCAGAGGACACCCTGTCCCCTGATTAGAGGACATCCGGCGCCCTGATCAGAGGACACCCTGTCCCCTGATTAGAGGACATCCGGCGCCCTGATTAGAGGACATCCGGCTTCCTGATCAGAGGACATCCGGCCTCCTGACTTAGATCAACTGGTGACGGTCAAAATTTCAGAGACCGCTGCTCATTTAAATCATCTTTACATTCCACAATATTGGATATTATTACTATCCTTAGAGATTAGTTGAGATGATATCCAGCTTTTTTTTTCATCTTCCATAAAATCTCCCTATTTTTCACATTGATTGTATGGCAACAGACGTCCTGGAGGCACAGCAGGTTTAAACTTTAAAGATATTTCTACCTCCTTTAACCTCCTAAACGAGTTGGACTGTAAGCTATTTGTTTCCTTCCAGACGACATGAGATATTCAAAACAGAAAAGGTTAAACTTAAGTCAGCAGAACAGTGAGCACCCTCTGGCAGACACTCCAGGTATAAGAAATACACATCAGAGGCCCGCTTCACCATCATCATCCTCAACTCTGAATTAATCGATCTGAACGTCACAAACTTCACAACAGCTGCTTTGAGATACTTTCATCAACTCTAAGTCCAAATTCCAACCCTGCCCCTAAACACTAACCCTGTTAGCTTGTTCCCATGGAGGCTTTGCCACATTAAAGGGCTGGTTATGCTCCCCACAGCAGTGTGTCGCAGTGAGCTTGACACACACATTTTTTATTTATGCTCAATTTTGAGCGTCGTCTGCGCTATACGCTGTGGGTCTAGATACGGCCAAGGCGGAGAGGATGTGGCGCCTAGTTTGTCTGACAACGGAGGGACGTGAGGGCGAAAAATAGCAGAGATCCAGGTGGAAATGGGTCCCACCGTTCTTGCGCGCCTCGCTCTTCTAGGTGCTCCATCTTCACGAGTCGTTTTCCACAATTGCGGTCATAAAAACAAGACAAGCTGGCCTCCTGTCTGCCGCACTGTCTGAGGTCACCTACAATTTGGGAGAGGAGCAGCAGAGTGTCTGCAGAGAGGGCGGGGACGTCTTTTTGTTCACTGCGACACCTTTGCAGACAACCACATTTTGAAGTATAAATCAGCTTTAAGGGTTGTCCCCAACCAGGAAGTGGGCAGGGCCAGTAGACTGTTCAGCCCTTAGACAGCCAGTCTGCAACAGAGAAGGCTGGCTTGGATTTGACAGCAGGTCTAATGACGACCTAATGATGGAAATGCTGGCATTTAAGCTCCGCTAGTTTGTTGTATTTTCATCACACTGAGAAAATCACAGGTTTCAAAAAATTTATTCTAAAAGGGAAGGTCCTCTTAGAAAGCTGAGACTGACTTCAATGGCAGTGAAACTGATTGTGAAGGGGTAGTATGTCCCTTCACTTTGAAAAGCCATTATCAGTCTAGCCCTGATTCAACGAGTCACCATGACAACAGGCAGCAGGAAGTGTCTATTTAACACCAGTGAAACTAGAGATTTAATGCAGAAATTAAAAATTAGTGGAAAATGTATTTGAAAGACAGTGAAACAGCTGCAAAGGAGGGGAAGATAGCGAAGCAGTAGATTAGGGAAGAGGTTTATATGAAGTCGGTATGGCAAGCAATTTTAACATTTATTAAAAGCATTCTCCTCTCTGTTGTTCCATCTGTAGATCACCAAAATAGGATTCCTCCTGGTCAGAATTATACCTAGAAATATTTACATATCTTAAGTGGCTGTTTTGATATTTCCCAGTTTGAGTGAAAATGTATTTATGATATCTGAAAAACATTCCGTCATAGTCAAAATAACACAAATGCTGACCAGTAACAATAGGTATATGGAGATGTAAAATTAATTTCTAGCCATTGTGGATGTTTATTCTAGATTTAAAGAATGTCATTTTGAAAAAGAATAAATGTTTTTCATTTATATCTGTGCAGATTCTCAGTCCTCCAGGTCAGGGTCCAGCTTGAAATCCTTCAGTTCTGGCAACTGGATGTGATTTTTTCTAGAAGACGTTTCTCCTCTCATCCTAGAGGCTTCTTCAGTTCTAACCAGTGGTGGGGAGCACTGAGATTAATATACTAGTGGTGGAACAAAGAATGAAGGTTATACCCCCGCAGCATTGTGTCGCAACAAGTTTATATGAACAAGTTTATATGAACAATTAATTTGTTGACAGTGACAACAAATAGCAGTACCTAGATCCAGGTTTTGAGGTTCATCTGGGAGAAAAAGTCATTTTGGGCTGAGTTTCAGTTTGGAAGGTGAGACCCTGTATTTACTCAAAAGGAGGATTTTTCCCCTCAGTTTTAATGCAAAGGCAGCTCAATGAAATAAGGCGTTGGGTTCCATTGAACGTGTTATTTTGCCAAGCACCATTTTCCACTGGCAGTGTTGAAGGGCAGTGCGCCTCACAGCGGTTGGGATAGTAGTACACATGTAGGCTTTGAATAGAGTAATAAAATTATGAAACATGCAGTATTTATTATGTGATGAAAATAAGATAATAAGAATAACGCCTCCCACCTACAACACCTGCTGTTCTCTTTATAAAATCCATAAGTCACGTCATTTAAAATGCTGTTTTTCCACCTTTCCAATGTTAAAGAAATTAGGTTCTCTGATAGTTCTGTTCTGAAGCCCCAGGTAAAGTTATTTGGATGTTTAAGAGTCTGCATATAATTCAATTCAATTTCAATTCAGTTTATTTATATAGCCCCAAATTCACATCATGT